GCCTGGCTAATTTTTTTGATTATGTAGAGATGAGGTCTCGCCAAGTTGCCCAGGCGGGTCTTGAACCCGCAGGCTCAGGCAATTCACTCACCTCGGCCTCCCAAAGCACGGGATTACAGGCTGAGCCACCGAGCCCAGTGAATTCAGCTTACTTGTAAGAAGTGGGGTCTTTTGTGGCCCTGTGGTGGGGCCTGAGAAAGCATCATACATCAACCAAGACTAGTGACTCCTGAGCAATTCAGAGTAGTATATAACTATCATTCAGGAGGAACGAATCTGCATCATAAGCACAGAGAAAGGGGCTAGTCTTTGGCAGAAGGGTGTCTAGGAACATTTCAGAGGAAGCTAAATGTGACTTTTGAGTACTGAAAGATGAGTAGAAGGATGCCAGGTGGCAAAGGCAGTCCTACTGAACTTTGGAGGAATGGTGAGCATTCTAACTCTGAGGGTTTGAAGAAGATAACTCTTTTTTGGTAGTTAAAGTATTACATGCATACAGTAAAATTCGATGCTTTGTTCTTAAGTATGCAGCTTACGGATTTAAAAAAATGTAAACAGTCACATAACCACCACTTTGGTGATGATACTGGACATTTCTAGCACCCCAGGAGGTTCCCTTGTGTCTCCTCTCCAGTCCCAGGTAAGTGGAGGGAAAGGGAGAAGTGAACACAAAACCTTAAAACCAGCCGGTGTGCTCCTGTAATTCCAGCTACTAGAGAGGCCCAGTCGGGAGGATGGCTTGAGGCCAGGAGGTGGGAGCCATTGCCGACTCTATTAAAAACTTAAAATAAAATTAGCCTGGCGTGGCGGCACATGCCTACAGTCCAAGTCAGCTACTTGGGAGGCCAGCGCTGGAGGATGGCTTGAGCTCAGGAGTTCCAGGCTGCAGTGAGCTATGATTGCGGCGCTGCACTCCGGGCTGGGGGACAGAGCACGACCCTGACTCTAAACAAACAGGCCGGGCGCGGTGGCTCACGCTTGTAATCCCAGCACTTTGGGAGGCCGAGGCGAGCGAACTGCCTGAGCCGACGGGTACGAGACCCGCCTCAGCAACTTGGCGAGACCTCATCTCTACAATAAACCAAAATATTAGCCAGGCGTGGTGGCGCGTGCCTGTAGTTCCAGCTACTTTAAAGGCTGAGGCCGAAAGATCACCTGAGCCCAGCAGGTTGTGGCTGCGGTGCCCGTGAGCGTGCCACTGCCCTCCAGCCTGGGCGACACAGTGAAACTCCCACTCAAAACAAACAAAAACAAACAAACAAAACAAACAGACGCTCTCAAAACTCGGCTTCAGCTTCCACATTCCCTCCACTTTTATTGCCGACTCCGAATCTTCCGCCATGTGCCTGGACAATACGACCAGGACGGTGCAGCAGGCCGGGGAGATTTCAGGATACCGTAGTTTTCCCGGAAAGCCCAGCGAAATTTAGTTGAAGCGCGAAAGCATCGGGAGCAATAGTTTTGGCCCTTCGCAGCCGCCGTCCATCTCTGACCGCGCGGAGCCGGCGTGTCCCTCGGCGGCCGCCGTGCGCCCGTTACGTGGCAGCTGTCGGCGCCCGCCAATCCGCTGCGCCCGCATCAGCCCCCTCGGGTGGCGCAGCCGGAAGGGGCGGAGCCGAGGCGGCGGCGACTGAGAAGGCAGCGGGGCGGCGGCGGCGGCCACGGCGGCTCTGGAGGCCGCAGTCCCGGTCCTGGCTTCGGCCCCAGCCCCACCATGGTGACGCTCGCCGAGCTGCTGGTGCTCCTGGCTGCTCTCGTGGCCACGGCTTCGGGCTACTTCGTCAGCATCGACGCGCACGCCGAGGAGTGCTTCTTCGAGCGGGTCACCTCGGGCACCAAGATGGGCCTCATCTTCGAGGTGGCCGAGGGCGGCTTCCTGGACATCGACGTGGAGGTGCGGGCACGCTGCCCGCGACCGAGGCGGGGTCGCGCGGCCGCTCGGGCGGGTGGTGGCGCCCGGGGTGCGCGCGGGGCCTGTAGGGGGAGTGGGCTTGAAAGCTGCTGTCCGAGTCCCGGGAGCCCAGGCCGCCCCCCCTCCCGCGGCTCGGCGACGGCCCTTTTTCCCGCGGTTTGCCGGGAGTCCGGGATCCAGGATCCCCTCGGGACGCGGAGCCGTTGCTTTGGGTTCTCATCGTTGTCGGCGGGTTCCCGCTGGAACCTCTCGCCAAGCCTTGTCAGCGGGCGCCGCGTGTCCGCCCGGGCCCCGAAGGCACGTCTCGTTCGCGGTTAGCGGGTGGCGGGTCTCTACCCGGCAGCGGCGACTGCTTCCCTTCGTGTTCCGGATTCATGTTGGAACGTGGCATGGAAAGTTTTGAAAGTGGATCGGGACCTGCCGAGGAACGCTAGGCGGACTCTTGGGTCGCGTTTGTCTGTCGTAGAAACAGCCCGAAGAGTCCTACCTGCTTCTGCACAGACGTCCCAGAGAGCACGTTTCGTCCTCTCTGGAGATAAAGGGAGTTGGGCCATGCGTTTTGGGGGAAAGGATTGCAGTGAAGGATCTGGACAAGATGGGAAATGAAAAAAGTAGCAGTCCCCAGATCTCCTCACGTACTTTGTTTTAAGCCAAAAGAACTATGTGTCAATTATTCTTTTTGGGAAACCAGACGTAACTGATGTATTAATTCACTTGCCAGCACCTCTAATTTGGCTGAAAGGTTTTCCGTGTGACAACGTATGTCTGGAGAGCTGGCCACAAATTAAAGCACAAGTGAAATCCAAGATAAAGGGATAGCTAGGTGTGGTGGCTCTCGCCTGTAAGGCCACCACTTTGGGAGGCTGAGGCAGGAGGATCACTTGAGGCCAGAAATTCAAGACCAGCCTGGGCAACATAGTGAGACCTTGCCTCTATAAAAAACAACAACGACAAAAATTAGCCAGGTGTGGTGGTGCATGCTTGTAGTCCCAGCTATTTGGGAGGCTGAGGGGGGAGGATCATTTGAGCCCAGGAGTTGGAGGCTGCAGTGAACTGTGATCGTGCCACGGCACTCCAGCCTGGGTGACAGAGTGAGACTTTTATGACTTAAAAAGGGCCAGAGCGGAGGGGTGCGGATAATAGAAGAGAGAGACAGAGTTAGCCGAGAACTTAGAGATAACTATTCCACTTTGGAAGTTTTGCAGGTGGTAAAGTCTCTGAAAGTGACTGACTCGACTACAGAATTTTGGTTTCTTCATTTCCAGTCTTGTCCTTTTCCCTTAAGCCTTCAGGCATCAGATAAAGCAGATTGCTTCTCTGGCAGTAATCATGAAAACCTCAAAATGGGACTTAATAAAAATTCTTATTAATTTTAAAGAGATTTCTTTTTTCTTGGGTTTTGAGTGACTTTTTTCCTTGGGTTTTCTTTTTTTTTCCCTTTGGTTTTCTTGTTTCTTAAGTTTTCAGCCATGTTTGCATGTGTGCTGGTATTAGGCCAGTTGGAGACCATGTGTAAGGTGTGGTTTCCGTTTCTGAGGGGTTTGAGTGTAAATTGGACAAATAAGGCATAAATGTTATTAGACTTTAGAGAGCCATCTAGTCCACCCTTGTTTTACTATGTGGGAGGATTGCAGCCCAAAGTGACTGTGTCACTTACTGAAGAGGCTCAGAGTGGTAGTTATATATTCTTAGTGAATTTCTTTTTTTTTTTTTTTGAATTGGAGTTTCACTCAGTCACCCAGACTGGAGTGCAGTGGCTGCTCCTGGCCACCGCAGCCTCGACCCACTGGGCTCCGGCAATCCTTCCGCCTCAGCCTTTCTAGTAGCTGGAATTACAGGCAGGCGCTACCACGCCCAGCTGATTTTTGATTTATTGTAGACATGAGGTCTCGCCAAGTTGCCCAGGCGGGTCTCGAACCTGTGGGCTCAGGCAATCCACTCACCTCAACCTCCCAAAGGGTCACGATTACAGGCTGAGCCACCAAGCCCGGCTCCTTAGTGAATTTCTTACTGTCCGTAGACTATTCACAAAGTTTATGACTTTAAATCTTTTGTGACATTATATTTCTCACCTGCCTCCAGATTACAGGACCTGATAATAAAGGGATTTATAAAGGAGACCGAGAGTCCAGTGGGAAATACACATTTGCCGCTCACATGGACGGAACGTATAAGTTTTGTTTTAGTAATAGGATGTCTACCATGACTCCAAAGATAGTGATGTTCACCATTGACATTGGGGAGGCCCCAAAAGGACAAGACATGGAAACAGAAGGTAAGATGGATGATCTGAAGATTAGATCACATTTCAAGAGCTGGTTTCAGCGCTATAAGTTTTTACCTATCTGAATGAATTACTCTTTAAAAATTTCTTTTTCCAGGTTTATGCACCGTCCTTAAAGCCAGAAACCTGTGAAATTTGCTTTTTATTGTTGCAAGTCTCCTAATTAAAAAAAGAGTTTCTGGAAGCTAGTTTCTTTTGGTTCTTTATGGTTGCCTCTTCTGACAGACTTTCCCAGTCACTTCTCCTGTGAACTTCCAGGTGTCTTGGGTGTTTGTTCTGTGTATTTGCTACTACTGGCCTATACACCTTTATTTACTTATTTGCCTACATGATGAGTTCAGCTAAACTTTTTGTTGGTTTCTTTGTGTTTTTGTCTTACACTTTCCTTTAGGTGGTGGAGACACCTGGGACGGTATGTGGATGCTTTTTGACAGCTTCCTGTCTTTGTGCATCTCATTTCTGCTCTCCTTTTTACTGATGTCTAATTCCTGCTTTCCTTTTTTCTAACCTCAGTTTGTTGGCATGAGAGTGTTTTTTCTCCTAAAAAAAAGCTTTATAACCGATTAGATAGATATTTTTGGCAATTTTTTATTTGGTTGACAGAAGATATAGGTTGTTATTTTAAATGAATAGCAGCAAGAACACAGTGGTTGACATTTTGTTAGTAACATCTTTGTTCTTTAAAATGAATGCCAACGGGTAGAAAGATTCAACGTAAATGGACAAGTAATGATTCTGATTAAACATAGCTAATGGCAGACGATGTCTTTTGACTTTGCAGAAGGTATTTTGTTGGCTTGTCTTACCATTAGCAAATATTTGAACTTGAAGCTGGGTTGCATATGAAATGCAGGTCTAGGAGCCACGTGAGGTATGACAACAAAAGTCCTTTTGACCATATGTTGCAGTTAGATTGTTTATTGTTCAGCTCACCAGTAATGAACTCTGGTTGATTCTTCTGGATAGATTGCTTACCAGGAGCCAGCATGTTTGGTGTTTTCTTTTTGGCCACGGTGTAAGCCCGGAGTTTTGGAAGTCAACTGTTGTTCAGTACATTAAATAGTATTAGCATGGTAACATTTGTCCCAGATATTCAGCAGTTAACATAGTAATGTCCTAAAGAAGGTGAATTGTTTAACTAGATTTTAGAATTTAGAGTCATACTTCTTAGTAACTCCTGAGCTTATTTTTCAGGGTCATTTACAGGGTAGGACTTGGCTAATTGTCAAGAAAAATTAGAAGCTTTGGGTCATTTCCTGGAAATTGGTTCTATTTATTTACTTTTTTTTTTTTTTTTGAGTTGGAGTCTCACTCTGTTGCCCAGACTGGAGTGCAGTGGCTGCTCCCGGCCACCGCAGCCTCGACCTGCTGGGCTCCGGCGATCCTTCTGCCTCAGCCTTCCAAGTAGCCGAAATTACAGGCATGCACTACTATGCCCGGCTGATTTTTTTTTTTTATTATTGTAGAGATGAGGTCTCGCTGCCCAGGCAGTATTTATTTACTTATTTATTCGTTTGTTTTTGAGTCAGGATCTCACTCTGTCACCCAGGCTGGAGTGCAGTGGCACAATCATGGATCACCGAAGCCTTGACCTTCTGGCCTCAGATGATCCTTCTGCCTCAGTCTCCTGAATAGCTGGGACTATAGGAGTGCTCCACCACACTGGGCTAATTTTTAAAAAAATTTTTATTTTTTTTATAGAGATAAAGTCTTGCTAAGTTATCTAGGCTGTCTTGAACTCCTGGGCTCAAGTAGTCCTGACTCGGCCTCCCAAAGTGCTGGGATTATAGGAGTGAGCCACCGTACCTGGTCCGGTTCTATTTAAATAGAAAATGTTGCCTGATGATCATGAGTATTGAACTACTTAAATAATCCTTTAACACACGTTTGAAATTCTTGCTTTTCTTGTTAATGTCAATGAATGGCAACTGTCAAACCTTCCTCTAAAGCAGTGGTTCTCAAATGGGGACGATCTTTGGCTCCCAGGGGACATTTGCCATTGTTTTGGAGACATTTTGACTCGACTGTGTGGGCAGGTGCTACTGGCATCTAGGGACTGGAGGCTATGGATGCTGCTAAACCTTGCAGTGCATCCAAGTGCTCCCCACAGCACACATGGAATGACATTTGGTCCAAAATGTCGACATTGTCACTTCTGAGAAACCCTGCTCTAAAGGTTCCATGTAGTGCATGGGGCTTCTAAAGGGATATTGGTAAGGGGTGATTTGCAATTCTAGCTCAGCTGCCAACAGTGGTAGGGGCCCTTGGCTTCTCCTAGGAAATGTAGGGCTGTTTGTAATGATCTTCCCCAGTCTTGGGCAGCGATGAAGTGGTTCCTCAACTCACTGCCCGGAATGTTTCCTTGTGCTGTTTCTTTCCTGCTTTTTGTTCATTGTCATGATATAGCACTGCCTAGAAGCATATATTTACTTTCCAGAACAGTACCTTGTGTTTAGTTTTGGTTAAAGAGGATTCATGGTTGAAAACCTTGTGCAGCTGAGGGTTTGTCTCTTTACTTACATTGACTCCTGATCCTCACTGTAGTGAAATCATTGCTTTCACTGTCACAGAGGACTGTTTAGGTCGGTGTAGGTTTTCCCAAGAGTGTCGTAATGTTTTCCTCTGCTCTGCTTTATAGAGATTAAAAGTTTGTTTTAGTGCTGCTCCTAAATTGGCAGTAGAGGTATATAATTCTTTTAAAATTATTTTTATTAGCCGGGCTCGGTGGCTCAGCCTGTAATACCGCGCTTTGGGAGGCTGAGGTGAGTGGATTGCCTGAGCCCGTGGGTT